TTAGTTTATTATAATCCTTAATCATTTATTAATTAATATCTGTTAAAATTAGAATTGGCGAATTTTGGCCAATTTATGAAAATTGAAGTTGAAATATACTATACTTTTATAGGTCATGTAAATGTTCTATTAAATTCGAAACTTTTTTTGGTGGAAAATATTAATATGATTGATATTTTATGAGAGATAAATGTATCAGCTTCAAAATAGGAAATATTGCGCAGCCATAGTGATTGACAGTATGTAGTGCGCATAGAGAAAAGAAGGTGCTCTCCATTTCGTCATGTTCAATTTTTTGGTCAACTATGCCTTGAGAAGGAGATCACTCGAAAAGCTACGCGCACACAGCGCTATGCAAATGAACCAAGATCAAAGCTGCCGCAGCGCGTGAAGAACAATTGCGCGTTGCCTTCGAAGTCCCATGTGTTCCCCGCCATCAAATTTTCAGCAGGCATAGTTTACCAAAAAATTGAACAGTATTTTTCAGTTTTACGCTGACTTTAATAGCTTTATAGTCGAATCAATCAATCTTTAGACAAAATTATAATGAACACAGAAGTAATTTTAACATAAATATTTTACGGAATCCGTTCCTGAAATATACAAAAAATAACATACCAAAAGTCCGAAAAAATCTAATCATGGGAACATTGTTCATTATAAAGATATGTAATGGGTTAAAATCAAACGCTTTATTGCACAACTGCTCTGATGGAAGCGTATAAATGCATGTCGTTGGCAAGTTGTTGCTAACGAAAAAATGTGAATTATAGGGTATAATACGCCCGCGCGCGATGCGAAGGCGGGGAATTAAACACATGGGTTTGTCGCGTCTGTCCTCAATAATACCTCCATGTTAATACATATTCATAAACCTCCCTGTTGTGACCGCTAACTTGTAAAACGACTCTCTACCGTCAGAGGTTGAAGTGGTGAGATCGTCATAGATCGTCGATACGTATACGAACGAACAATGGTGAGCAAGATGGGAAAGTGTTTGGTTTCGATTCTTTGTCTGTTTTTTAGCTACGGCCTTGGTAAGTACATTGTTTATTCCATAATCTCATGTTTGTTTTACTGTATGATAAATTTAAAATGATTTCCAAATCCGTGTTAGGGAATGTTTGTTACATAGGCCTAGGCCCACATGGTGCACTTACTTACACTACTGCATCATTAATTTGGCACTTTCATCAATTTGAGGAGGGAACGAGTGTGACCGAGTGGGGTGTGTTTATGGGAAATTCCCAGTGACATCTCTACATACAAATCTTATAAAACACCGGAAGGTCCACTGATTAATCTCAGATAAGAAAGTATAATACATACTCCAAGTATTGAAATACACGCCATCGATCGTGTTGGGATTCAATATTTCGACATTAATTATGTCGCATCAGGAATGAAAAAATTATCCATATTAGCAAGCTTATATGCACTAGTACCAAAAGTGTTTAACCAATCAAAACATTACCTCTAGTAGGTGACATAGCAGTAATTTAAACAAAAGATCAAAGCATTCTTACTCTTATGATCAAAGATACCTACAAATACAAAGAAAGCTCTTTTGAAGCTCTGAGTACATTGTTAAGCAAAGGAGGTAGTCTACGTATAGCGAACACTTCTTTAAACAATAGGATTTCTTAAGTACATTATTAACAACTTTTAAAGGGTACCCATTCCAAGACATAAAATTCCTGATGTTACTAAGCTCTGTTTGAAGATTATCATGAGTACACAATCTGTGGCAGGGCTTGAAATTAACTTTTTGTTTATATTTTTAACAATATATAAACCTAGTCGTCGTTCTGCTTGGAAAGTGTGAGGTCGCCGGGGTCACGCTGACTTTGTAAACACAAAAACTAATAGTAAAAATACTTGTAGGAAGTTGAAAATTTGCATGTAGGTGCTGTCTGGTGTGAAGTTGAACCATAATTAATAGCGATGTAGGCGATAAAAACAGTGGTAAAAATACTTGCTGAACACGATTGCTTTGGGGTTATATGCAGACATTTCTCATGGATTAGATGGTGGCGCTGCTCTGCTTGCGACATGTTTGTTCATGGCTCTAACAAAGTTCATTTAATATTACTGTTTTTGGAGAAAGTAACAACTATTGTTACAGACTATATCAATATTTATGGTGTGTTATCGTCGTTGTTTGTGGAGACTGTGGATTCCTGATATGTTTTGACGTGAATTCAAGCAGATTGGTGTATAGTAGTCAGGCCCTAAAACTACTTCAAGCAAGGCCATTGTCTTCGCGGAAGCCCGCCTTTGTTGATGGATTGCCGCAGGATATGAAACGTAGGAAGCGGGGTAAGAGAGGGGGCGTTCGCCAAAGGTTAAAACGGAGAACTTTCAATCCACCACTCCCATCTATAATTATGTTCAACGCTCGTTCTATTAGAGAAAAGCTTGAAGAACTGACGGTAAATACCACAACTTTAAGGGATTTCAGGGATGCATGTCTAATATGCGTTACTGAAACATGGTACCGGTCTGATGTTGACACTCATTGTTTCACCCATATTGATGGTTTTACTTGCTTATGAGCGGACAGAATGCCCGATGCTTGCAAAGATGGTGGAGGAGGTGTATGTATCTACATCAATAACCGTCTTCAGGCAATACTGTACAAAGGATGGAATTGCTTACGGTCGCTCTTAGACCAAGTACTACCTATCCAGGGAATCCCCAAAAATATTTGTTACGGTGGTATACATCACTACAACAGCCCTTGTTAAAAATTCAGCGGATTATTTACAAGATCTAATACGAGACATGGAGAATGACTCGCCGGACGCTGTTAAAATTCTCGCGGGTGATTTTAACCAGTGCGATCTGAAGGATACCATACCACTTTATCATCAGTATGTTGACAAACCCACCAGAGGTAAAAGTATTCTAGATAAATGCTATGGCAACTTACCTGCAGCATACAAATGTGTCATTAAACCTAAAATTGGCACGTCAGATCACGATGTTGTTCATCTGTTACCACAAAGTTCAGAGAATTAAAGCAATCAAACCTACTATTAAGTCAATAAGAATTTGGTCTTGGGATAGCATTGAAACATTAAGAGGGTGTTTTGAAGTTACAAATTGGGATGTCTTCTTTGAAGGATCTACGTTAAGTGGAGCAACAGAAGCAATTTCACATTATATTGATTTTTGTGTCAAGTCTGTTGTTCAAGAAAAGCAAATCAAAGTATATCCGAACAACAAACCGTGGCTCAATGGAAGTATTAAGAAATTATTCCAAAGAAAGTATAAATGCACTGATGAAATGAACAGAAAAGAAATACAAAAAGAGATAAAATATGAGGTTTCACGCTGCAAGAGAAAGTATGGACAAAAGGTAGAAGAAGTCTGGAAATACCAAGCAATTGTGTGGAAGTGTATGCAAATGATGACAGGTTATGACCAAAAATGTGTAAATAGTGTTAAAACAGATTATGATTAAAAAAAATGGCTACTGATCTTAATTCATTTCTACCTGCGATTTGATAATGATCATGATTTTAGTGACATTAGATATCAAATTGAAAATAATATTAGAGATAGCATGACAGATGTAAATCTAGCAATGATTAACACAATGGATGTTAAGAGTGTGTTTAAAACAATTAACCCTAGAAAATCTAGAGGTCCAGATGGTGTCAGTGGAAAAGTTTTAAAGGCATGCAATGAGCAATTGTTCCATGTGTTTTCTCGTTTATACAACTGGTCACTCAATTCTCATGAGGTAGCTGCAATTTGGAAACGTTCATTAATCCATCCACTGGCCAAAATTGGTAACCCTAGAATGCTAAATGATTACAGACCTATTGTTCTTACTGCCGTGCCTATGAAATGCTTTGAAAAACTAGTTAAATGTGAGATCCTTAATGAAACCAATGATGAAGCAGATCCATATCAATTTGCTTACCGTCCTAAGAGAGGTGTAGAAGATGCCATTACTACCCTATTGCATAAAATTCTTGTTCATCTAGAGAGTGCTAATGCATATGCTAGAGTTTTATTTTTAGATTTTTCCTCGGCTTTTAATACAATTAAACCTCATATTTTAATGGAGAAGGTAAGGGTCATTCTTCGGTAATGTGCCATTTTAGACACTGGGAAAGTAGCGATTTCAAAATCATTTTTATTTATTTTTTCTGACGGATTATAAAAGAGGTACATCTCTAGTATATAAAAAAAACATTTGGCTCAATCTTTATCAACAAAATTTTATTTATTTTTTGCTTCTTTAGCAGTTGGTGTCAAGGGGTAATCATCTCCGTCACAAATCCATACCGGAAACAAAAGAAGCGACAAAATGTTCTTAACTCAGAAAATTAGTTTTATCTATCTGGTAACATAATTGTTGAGGCAATAGAGTACTCTCTACCTAATTTAGATGTCACTTGATCGCCCTATCATTTTAATTAATTGAAAAAAGTAATGCATACTAACATTATTTTGGGTTTTTTTTATTTTTGCACCGAATTACTGTAGCCAGAATGTGTCAGACATTAAATATATATTATTTTCATAGAGTGTAAGAGTATAACCAAAAGTATGTGGCTCGTCATTATATTTCCATTTGCTCAATTTTTTAAAGTCAAAGGGGGTCATTATCTGTACGTGATGGAGATGATGTAGGTGTGACGGAGATGATGAGGGTGTGGCGGAAATTAGTTTATACACATTTGTATATAGAGAATAATTTCCGTCACACCTATAGAGACAATGAAGATTTCATGGCTATTATTCTCTAGGAATATAAACTTGAATACATATTTTTCATTTGTTTCAACAATATTTATTCAAACAATATTATATACTGTACGTACAGTACATGTAGTTATAATAAACGTTTCAAGTATAAAATGAAGTTACACCTTTGATTCATTCAAGTATGTCTTACATAGGCTGTTAAACAGCTTAATGTAAAACATACTTTCATAAACATACAGTACTGATTATTAACACAATGTCATCGATAAGTAATGATGCCAGTAACTTAATTCTGTCAGATTTGATTAGAATTTGGATATACAGTATTGCCATTTTTAACTTTAAATTTTCATTTAATACACACTTTTAATTCGTCATCAATGCAATCAATTTTCAGTTGTTTCAACATTATTTATTCAAAACAGTATAGTGTTATTGTAACGTTTTAGGAAATGATAAAGTTGCACCTTTCTTTCATTCATTTAACAGCCAATGTAAAAAATACGTTCATCAACATGATTATTAAAACGATGAACTCGATTAGTATGATTGTGAGTAATTTAATACCATCAGATTTGATTAGAATATTTGAATATTGCTATTTTAAAGTTTTTTTTTTTTTTTTTTTTTTTTTTTTTAAAACTTCATTTAATTTCCATTTTAAAACTTCATTTAATACAAGAAAGATGTGTTAACTTTATCAATCTTCATCTAATACAATCAAGTTTTGTAAACTTTGAAAATCTCTATTTCAGCTCAAAATACATCATAAGTACATAATTGTGAGGTGTCACCACAAAATGAATCTCATGGTTAGAAATTCAAAAATTGAGTTTATATTATATTTGGGTAGATCACATTAAAAGCTTTCATTTGGTCTTTGAATGGCTTTCCTATTATAAGTAAATCCAGAAATGTGAGCATTTAAAGTTTAGGTGTATAAGAACCACGTTTTGAGAAAATCAGCCTCAAAGATAAACTAACCTGTACAAATAATATGACTAGAATTACAGAATATGTGCAGAGAACACTGTTTTGGCAAGAAAATTCACTTACAAAGTATACAATCATATAATATAAGTATCAAGTTATTCAAAAACATTAAAATCAAAATTTTGTAAAATTGTTGACTTTGGCCTGTTTTGGTAAATATCTCAACATAATTTCACCAACAATGCGCCTCATTTCATGGTGAGACCTCACATATAACAAGAACAATTGTTCAAAACAGTAATGTGAACATTTTATGAAATAATAAATTATGGCTTTCTTTCATTCATTTAACAGCTAACGTAAAACATACATTCATCAACATAATTATTAACACGATGTCCTCCATCAGTAATTTAATAACAGCAGATTTGATTAGAATTTGAATATTGCTATTTTTAAGTTTTTTTTTTTTTTTAAACTCCTCAAAACAATTTCATACTCATCCCGATAAGAACAATTGTATTTCTATTAAAAAGATTTAAAATCTAAAGGCGGCAGCAATCAGTTTAACAATAATTGAGTTGGGATCATCTTTGGCATATTTGTTTGGAATCAATCTATTCCTCTCCAAGATGCTGCATTATAGCTCGGCAGAATTGTTGGTTCTATCATATGATGCCTTGATGTGACTTTACTAACCGGAGGAAAAAATGTAATTAACATCATCATAATTATACCAGATTCGGTCTTCTCTTGCGGGCCAGAAAAAGCGGTTGACTCCCACTCGACTCATTGTTTTTACCTCCACTGAGTCATCATCAGTGTCTTCAATTTGACCTGGATATGGTTTCCCATCATACAAAACAACGCACCACATTCCGTTATATGCATTTGTTGCACTTACTTGCTCAATAACCGACAGGGTATTCTTCTTGGAAACATAATTTGTCATTAATTGTATATCCTTTGACGTTGATGGTACAGGTATGTCTTCTGACCTTGATGGTGTATCTTTTGATGTTGTTGTAGGCCTTGTTGTGGACGTTTTAGCGTTTTGTACCGTTGATGGCGTTTTATTATTACAGATAATAACACTACTACGAGTTTTTTCAAAACAGGGACGTTCACAGAAACAACTCAATACTCTGTGTTCCACAACGCCAGCTTGGCCTGGATACAGAACCTGGTGAATTTTCATTGTTCCTTCCACTGTTCTCAATTCTGGAACTTGGTTATCAAATTTTTCAATATCCACCTGGGTGACGAATTGCAGGTAAATTGTTGTTAGTCCCTTCAAACTTTCCAGTAACCCTTCAGCCGAAACAATGTCATTGCCAGCTGCCACAATTGCATCGGCCGACCGCTTAATCACACCCCCAATTCCATCTGGTGCACCTTTTCCATGGCCCGCTTCTAAAAAGTTCCACGTTATTTCAGTGAACCCAAGGGTTCTTGGAACAGTAGATGTTAGCCAAAAGTTAGTTTTATTACGGTATTGGGTCGTTGGTCCATCCGAAACAAAATGTATTGTATTTATGAGAGGGAGTTCTGTTTTGATTTTTTTCAGAATAGGAGTCAAGTGACCCCAAATACCCGATGCGTCATGCCTTGTGCAGGGAGATATAGTACAGAATGATGAGAATCTGTCAGCCGTGTAATAAACACCAGTGTGCAGGGACACTTGTTCATGAGAACCCCCGAAGTGAATGCTTTGAATATCTTCCCCGTGTTTACACCCGTAATTCTCCGAAAAATCTATGTGAATTACAACCTCATTCGCTTTTAGTCCTTCTTTTAGCTTCCTGAGTTCTGCATATTGATGATATATGTTATATGTATGCATTGAGTAGCGAGGCTTAATTTCCGACTCATACTTGTCGCATAATTCTGACAGCTTAATTTCTATGTTCTCTTTCACTGTAACTTTAGACACCTTATTGTCACCATACGGTTTGTCTTTTGTTACCCACTGATGATATGTTATCAACTTTTCAGCACTCGAATGCATACTGAAACTCAATCTCTTTGAAGAACATTTAGAGCACTCCCCATACATACACTTGTGATTTTTGGTGTCGCACACAATTTCGGCCACACTGTCTTCAACAGGGCTTGATGGTATGGCCTTTTCTGCCACTAACTGTTTATGCATATATGCTACATTTGTACATTTTTTGCACATGCATGTTTCTAAGTTACTTAGGGTGGGCTTCACAGTCCAAAAGGGTTTCATTTTGCAAAATGTTGAGTAGTGAATTTTCGAATTTGGATTTTCATACAAGAACTTTGCATGTAATAGCTTCATACTATCATTCAAAAGTCGCTTCTGTTTCTTGATCTTATTGGACGTGATGGTATCTTTCTTTCCTGGCATTTGACGACTGTTGTCATCTCTTTCAAGAAAGTTTCGGATCCTCAGCTTCATATAATCATTTATCCTGTCAAGTTCTTTCGGCGGTCTTTTTTTAATAGCCTCGGGTTAATTCCGATCTTTGAAGATAGCCTATTTATCACACAGTATTTCTTATGTACATTGGCCACAGCCCTTCTCAGGACTTGTTTTATCTTGCATTGTTTGTTTCTTTTGTATTTCTTCCTGATTTCATCGAAGACAGCATTATGGAATATTAATTCCTTCCTAATTTCAGGTGTCACTTTACATTTTCTCAACATTCTCCGTGCCCTTGAACGAGGAGTTGAACTTGAGTTAAGCAGTTCATCCCTCTCTCTGTAATATTTTTTCTTCCACTTTTCTATGGCAGACTTCTGTGCCTCAAGCCTTTTTCCAAACGAATAATCTTCCTGTAAGCCTTTGCACGAGCTGCCTTCACTTTTCTTCTTCCTCTTTGTGTGCGTCGATCTGTACGTCTTGGAGGTGGTGTAGCAGGTGGTGAACTCGACGACATTTGTGCGGGTGACATTGGAAAGCCAGGACCTTTCTGCTTGTCTCTAAACCTTTGCGAACCCTTTCGCCATTGTTTTCTTTGCATTCTTTGCTCTTGTGGGGTTTTATCGGAAATAGGAACATAATTCTTGCGTTTTCTTTGCCTTTCTTTCTTTAGATAGATTTCACGTCGAGCGAGATCATTTTTCAAATTATCTCTGTATTTCTTGGCACGTTCAGCTGCACTAAGAGCCATACTGTTGGGGTGAATATGGAAAATAAAATTAAATAAAATTAAAATTTAAATAAATAAAATAAAATAAATAAAATAAATAAAATAAATAAAATTCATTTATAAAACACGTTTTAAAGTTTATTCATGAAAATATCAGTTTAAGTTAATAAGATACAAATTTGTGTAGCGTATCATTTCCGTTACATCAACAAGCGCATCTATCTAGGCCTAGCCTAACCTATTGTAAATCTAGTGGATAAACCATCTTTAAGGATTTCCAGGTTCACAGTACCTAAAATAACGTCAAAACACCACTTGGCCTTGGATAATATCCGTCACAACATCTCCGTCACTAAAAAGAATTCACAAATCGTGACGGATATTACGTGACGGTACATGACGACCCTAGCTAAGCTAAGACCCTAGCATTAGGCCTAAGCATACATGTACATCAGTCTATAGAAGGTGGCCTAGAAATTAACTGAAATTATCATAATTTTGAAAAAAATTCACAAAATAAGAAAAACATTTTAGTGATCAGAAACATTTGGAGATTACGATGAATAAAGGTACGCACCTGTATACCTGAAGAAAAAGTCAAAAATATGAATAATACGTTGCCCGATAATAGAGTAAAATGAATCTACCACAGAGACGTTTTAAAACTCGCGCCTGCGTTGTCAAAAATAATGAAATCGTAAGATTAGTCTTCCTGTCCAGGCGCTTTGAAACATTTGTGACGGTACATGATGCAATATGCGGGACAGCAAAATGTCAATATAAAATGTTAAATATTTCGAAATTCTTGCGTGGATAAACATTTTTCAATATTTATTCCACATTATACAACAAATAATTTGCAATTCTTCGTGTTTTTACCATGCTGAAGCTATGCGTTAAAATATGCCGGTATAGTGAAATATAATAACATACGATCGGGACATCGACTTTAGGGGGTGGTGACTCGCTTTAAGTGCTATTTTCTAAATAATGAGCAATGGTTTTCTGTGTTTGAGTCTTTAATTGTATAAATAAATGGCAATTTTCACCTACTAAGAAGAAAAAAAAATTGAACTCCATTGCATACGATAGTACTATCAACTGAAAGTCCCGTGACTTGAAAATGGCACATTACCGAAGAATGACCCGTAAATGTTTTAGGTATTAACCCATCTCTTATTTTATGGATCAACAACTTTTTAAAGGATAGGGAGCAATTTGTCTGTTTTAACAATTTTAACTCTGATATACGTACGTGCTCCCCAGGGCTGTGTTTTATCTCCTTTTCTTTTCTCTTTATATACTAACGATTTTAAATGTACAAATAAACAATTGAGTTTTAATATACTGTTAAATATGCAGATGACACTTGCCAAGTTGGCCTTGTGAAGGATAATGACAGTCAGGTATATCTTGAGAATGTCGATCACTTTTCAACATGGTGCCAAGATAATTATTTAAAGTTAAATGTTAAAAAGACAAAGGAGATTATCATTGATTTTAGAAAAGGCAACAAGACACATGATGATGTGACTATTATACATGATAAGGTTGAAATTGTTAAACACCATAAATATCTTGGTACAATTATTGATGATAAGCTTGACTGGAAAGAAATACAAAGCACATTACCATTAAGTGCAATCAGAGGCTGTACTTCCTAAGACGTTTAAAGAAATTTCATGTATGATAATAAAATCATGGTACTCTTTTATGAATCAGTCATTTTATCAATTCTAACTTTTAGTGCAATAGTCTGGTTTTATAGCCTTGATAAACAGAACATGAAAAAACTTGTAAGAATTAATATAACAGCTGACAGAATTATTGGGACTAGAAACAGTAAGAATATAGAAGACTGTGTTAACATTACAATGTGTAAAAAAATGGAAGTAATTATATCAGATGTTAATCACCCTCTTAATCAGTACCTCGCCTTCAGCAAAACTGGACGTATGTTATATCCAAGGATGCGGACAAATAGAATTTGTAAATCATTTCTCCCAAGCGCTATGAGACAATTTAATAAAATGTGCAAAAGATAGGCCTATGCTGTATACCCCAATCTGCTCGCCTTTGCCAAAGCTGATTTTTTACAGAATGTTTAACCAATTTTAACCCCTTTTTAATGTTTTTAGCCTTTTTAGCCATTTTAACCTTTTAGCTGACTTTTATTGTTTTTAAATTTTTGCTGTTTCCTCTGTGATTTTATCTTTTGTGTCTTGTTTTAACTTACATTTTAACTGTGAACAAACAAGAAGAATTTCAAACCATCTTCTCACTGTGTTTGACAATAAAAGTTTGAATTGAATTGAATTGAATTGAATAAGGTCATCCTGGATTTCTGGTTCCGGTTATGAGCCAGTTGTTTGGACTGAAGACAGTACCTGGGACGCGATAGTTATTCCTACCAAGGCAATTCAACAGAAGGAAGAACTTAATTAGCAGAAAAATGAGCTGTTCCGCGTATTTGCATTAAAAACGATGGAACATTCGCCCTCATGGGGTTGCAGTAAAATTTGAACATTTTACTAAGTGGAGAAACTACAGGAAACAAACGAACCAGAGCAGCGCCTTTATTCTTACTATATAGCACCTCCGCGCGGATGCAGTAAAATTTTTCTTCGTGTACCCACAATGCATTTCGACCGGATGTTCCACTATTTTGGGAAGCTGCTCTATCTTCTGCTATTTATTATCTTTGCTTGTTCCAACAAATAACAGCCAGCTTTTCGGTACTACAACACCTTTGATGGAGGGCCGCGGAAGATACTCGTTTTTGGCTGACAGGCAAACAGCTAAACAGCCAGAAATGTTATTACTGTATATGACATTTAGTTTTCCATACAGTTCGATTTTTATGTTTTCTGTAAAGTTCGGTTTGTGCACCTTTACGGACGAGAAAGATGTAAGCCTATTCAGTGTTTGTTCGCCGAGCCGACACAAATAGCTGGAATTCCACACAGGACAGTTTTTGATCGTTTTGTAGGCCTGAACTCGGTTCGGGTGCATACAGACAGTCAAGTGACAATATTATTACAATATGCGTGTACGATGTTCGTTTCCTCTACAGTAGATTTTATGTCCGTTTCCTGTTAAAGTTTATTTCTGAAAATTTTTATCAGATTCGTCTTGGCGACTAGTGTGCATTTTCGATAATATTTTTCTAAGCATAAACAACATTATTCTTTGTCATGACACACATTTTTCGTCATTACTATGTCAATTTCCTGAAATTATTTTTTTATAAGATTCGTTTTAGCGATTAGTGTGCATTTTCGGAAATATTTTCAGTATTTTTCTGAACACAACACATTCTTCGTCATTACTATGCCAATTTCCTGAATTTTTTCCTATCAGATTTGTTTTGGCAATTAGTGTGCAATTTCGGTAATATTTTCAGTATTTTTTCTAAATACAGCACCATTCTTCGTCGTTACGATGTCAATTGTTTAGGGCCTTTTATTGTTTGCGTGTATTTTTCGATAACCTACATTAATATTACCTTAAATGTAACACATCGGAACGCCCCGTGTGGGTATGTTGAGAGAGATATGCAAAATGAAAAACTACACGAGCAGTTATATATCAATTCATTAGCATTTGTTTTTGTACCCAAAAATCCAGCCGATTTCTGCCAAACGGCTCGAATTAAATAGCAGAAAATAGGCACTTGTGGCAGTTTGTAATATATCTCTGTTAATATTTGACCGATTTTTGGCTGTTTTTGCAACGTGTTCCATTTAATTACCTACAGTGTCATGCCACCTTTGTTTTTTAAGTCACTGAAGCATCGTCTGAATCTTTTTTAACAGTAAGATCATTTAAAAACCGTCCTGTGTTAAAGTAATAGGCCTGTTTATTGCTGCGAAGCAGCCAATTCATATTCTTGACAGCAATTTGACCTCTGAAAGGTCATTGTTTGTAAAAAAAACAAGGGCCTAAGACGACTGAAAAGCGGAGTTTTCTTTCGTTCTGCCGGGTAAAATCAATTACTTTAGGCGACGTTTGTAGACTAACCAACATGTACCAACGTCCGCATGTCGCGCTAGCCTTTTCCTACTCTAGGCCTAGACTAGCTAGGATGGTATAGGCCTAGCCTTGAAGGGACGAAGGTCCCAATCAGGGCTTGCCCTAACTTTTTTTGGTAACTAGCCCACTGGGCTAGTTTACTAGAGATTTTACTAGCCCACAGAATATTTTACTAGCCCACAGACAGGAAAAAATTTTGTTTCAATATATTTATTAGCGACAATTAAATTTGAAGGTTGATTTGCAATTTCATAATTTTTGTAGCATTGCTGTTTGAGCTACCCTCTCAAAATATTGTTGAATAAATAAATAAAAAAAATCACTATGCTGCAAAATCGACTCTGGTTATAACATGTTTTACATCTCCCTTGTTATAACTTTGGCTTTCTAATATTTAACAAAGGGCCCAGAAATCAATCAAAACCAATGCATCTGTTAAATCTTTAGGTCTCAAGTCACTCACCCCCAATGGTAATAAATCTTGCTTAGGCTACCTAGGCTAGGCTAGGCTACCTAGGATAGGCAAGACCTAGCCTAGGCCCTAGGTCCTAGGGCCTAGGCTAGCCTAGCCTACCTATAGCATTGAAGTACTTATTAACAGTTGAACATTTTAAAAATATCATTATGAGAAAATAATATGAATATAAGGTAGTACATTAAATTAAATGTTCTAACTACCTAAATTAACCAGATTGAACGATCAAACTATCTTCTAATCTATTCTCCGATCCGACGATGACGTCAGAGGTCAAATCCAACTTCCGGAATAACAATTGCAGGACAAAAATAAACAAACCCGCGATACGATTTTTACTTGCGCGATATCATCCTTCATTTCGCAAGGATACTTTATTACATTCATTATCCCATTGTTTTTTTAAAAGAAATGTTGTTCAATGGCATATTCATATAACACCAGTATCTTGATTGTGAAGCTAGAGAGCGATATAGAATGAAAATGAGGATATGTGGGCTAGGCCTAGAGGACTGCCCATACAGGATACCTGGCGAGGCATGGGTTAATGACCCAACACAGTGGCCTGCGCTTGAGTTGGAATGGCCAGAGATTTATAACTATCTTATCAATGTCTCCAGGTGTCTTCACTCGGGAAGCCATGAAAAGTAGGTAAAACCTTGAAGCCCATAACCAATTGTGGTTGGGTGAGAACAGTTTTAATGTATGAACCCCCATCATGTACATGTACCAGCCAGTGGTGTTCATGAGTTGAGAGCAGAGGTTAAACCCTGGTTAAACCATCACAACGGCTAAATGATGATCCGCATCTACCATGATTGCCATGAACAAGGCAAATGATACTATTATTGCTGCTCATTGCACTTGTATGGCAGGGTTAGTTAGAATTGACTCTTTGTTTAGCCTATACAGCATTTATTCAAACATCTTTTTTTCTATATGGTTTGATAATGCTGATGCTTTGAATATGGTTTTTGACCTTATATGACAATATAACCCAAGACCAAATAAAGTTAAATTAATTGCTAATTCCACATCCCTGCCCTACCAATGAAAAAATTACTGTTAAATAAAAAAAAAAAAAATAAATAATAATCCATGGAAAATAAAATTTAAAAATCAGTAAAATTGTTTACTGTAGTCTAGCATATGCCATAAAAAATTAAAATAATAAATCAACCTTAACAAAAAAGTACTGTAATTTAAAATCCTTAATGTAACACAAACAATAAATTAGATATGGGTCTTCAGTGGGTATATTAAAATATGAAGATTTAAAACTGCATTTCATCTATTTTTTTAAGATGTTTGGCGCACAAATAAACGTTCCTGCCTGTCGGGTTCCACTTCGAGCCATCAGCATTTTTTCGCCTGCATGCAGCAATCCATTTCTGTCTCAATACGGTATTGTTGTTGGGAAACCTAAAAGATCTTGGTTTTTTTTTCATTCTTGAGTTATTCGTACATCCAACAGCTTCGCAATATAAAGGCATGACGGAAATACAACTAAAATACAAGAAAGTAGAAACCAGTACAGTAACCCTATCGTGTCAAACACGTTGTAAAGAATAGCAGTGCGCTCTCGTACCGCGGGAATTTGTCCTGCAGTTGTCTTGCGCGTACTTAAAAGTCTAATACGCGGGGTCAAGTCGGATCGGAGAATTGAGAGAAAGATAACATGCCATCCTGTAGTGGTTGGTGAATGACTTGGGGATCATCTTAATAATTAAACACTCACGCATGTGGAGAGCTGAAAGCTAGCTAGAGTGTACTCTCTGGGCTGCGGTACCTCCTGTGCAGGGATTGCCTCGAAAGTTCCATTTTTTTTTTCTTTTTTTTTTTTTAAAGAAAATGTTTTTCTTGCTAATTCTCCACTAGACAACCGGGCAACATGAAGAGTAAATAGGCTAGCCCGGAGCGGTTTTTACTAGACATTGTATGCCGGGCTAGTACTAAATCGAGCCCTGCCAATGAAAAACAACGTCGCTCCTTGATAGCTAACATTGCCTATTTAACATCACAATAATTCATTATTAGACCTATAGTTGGTTTTTTGAATTGTACTCCACAAATCTCAGCCGATACCTCGCACAACTCCAATAACGTCTTGTATCTATTGTCGTGATATCATTGCTCGCTGGCTCACACTTGCGATGTCTCGCACTTGTGATCAAATAACATGCTGGTTCGCACTTGGGCAACACTCTTTGGCAGTCAACTCGCCCCTAGAAAACCCGCCCTTGGAAACTTTCCCCATAAAAAAAATGTACACTTCCTAGACCATGCAGTCTTCAAAATAAAAATTGTAACCTTTGGTAATCAACTACATTTTCCACATACATAGACATTTTTTAAACTTTATTAAAAAAAACCTAAACCATAATTCACCACTTTTGATATTTTTTGACAAAAATGAAATATTACGACTTTGTTACCCAATGAGAAGTGTTCTAATATAGACAATGGGTCGTACTCTCTCATATTATTTGTTATAATTTTATTATTCATTATTTTCACTTGACTCGCATAAATAATTTTGTTCGAAGAACATTTATATGCAGTTGTACTTCGCAGCACTTCACTTGCAATTTGCAATTTCTAGTAAAATTTCCTGATCATGTTAAAAAAGCCCTCTTACTTTTGACCTCGTGGCCCAATTTTAAATTATGCTTTCTCAATTGGTTAATTCACGTAGTAGGATGTACATGCATGTACTTTAGTAATTATGACGTTAGATTGCCCAATCAGTCTTTTTCGATTTTACTTCCGCGTTTGCATTCCGTAGCGTCACCTATCGTTCAAAAACGTAACCACGTTCTAGCGTCGCTAAGCAAAAATACAACAGATTTTTTACATATAAGACCCGTCCATTACTTCCTTATATGGTAAAAACATTTCCAAATAAGTCTAGTTTCAAAACCAATCGGAGTTGTTCAGGAAAACCCATGTTAACACAAAGCATTATCGATTGAAGTTGACACATGTAAAATAGGGAAAATCTGTACGATATGACTAAGCTTTTATTTAGATTTTCTCCATAGTTTAATATTAATTTTCTCCATTAATTAATATTTTTTGAAGTGTTGATTTATCATGTTTAGTCTTAGTTTAGTTGGGTAAGACCTGTCTTAAATCTGTTCAAAAATTTGTAATCATACTTGTAGCCCGTAAAGTGCTAGGCATTATTTTGAGCATGTGTGAGCATGCAGTAGTCGTAGCTGAGTGACATTGACTGCAGCCGCGTGTCGCATGGTGGTGTGATCCATTGTTTGTACTAGCCTAGGACTAGGCATCTGACAGTGAAGGCAGACTGATATGGAATGCCCACAGTGCCTTCAGTGGCGGCTATATCATTTGGCTGCGCATTTACCATTCGGCGACCCATTCCATGCGGCGCATATGTTATGCGGAGGCAACTTTTTGCATTCGGCGGCGACTATGTATTCGGCGCATTTGTCATGCGGCGGCGAGTTTTTCATTCAGCGGCGACCCTATTTGCCGACTACATCATTCGGCGACTTTAGCATTCAGCGGCTGAAGCTATACATCATTCGGCGACTTTAGCATTCGGCGACTATTTAGGCCGGTATCAATTGGCGACCATCCAATATTACAAAACAGGTAATTTCCAACGCCTGCTTACAAACCTAACTTACACAGCTGTATATTCTTGTGTTAATCTGGTGCTTCTGTTTGTGTTTATTCTTTTCTACTACATTTGAACGAGAATAATGATAATACACATGATTAGTATATTTTTATGTTACTTGTAACACTAATAAGTGATTTCGTGGTATAAAACAATGATTCTGTCATATTTAAAAGCTTGTAGTCCAGTGTCCTTGGCCCATCCATACTCTAAGAGTGTTTGGATACTTAATTCCTAATACATCCTAAGAAAGCATTTTATTTTACGTGTCATGGGTTTTGTACGGTCAACATATTTATACAGTACTGTACATAGGTAAATAGGCCTTTACAGTATTCTAAATAACTTATTGTACAGTTATACTTTATTAAATTTCCAGCTTTCACCTGTCTTCAATTCTGTTATATTTTAGCCTTACATGTTATGTACCGTTTACTATATTTTAATTATTTATAGGCCTACATTTTATTTGTTTAATTTAATGCTTAGTATACAGTTTCACTGTTAAAATGTTAATCGCGCTTCGCCGGTGACTGTTCCTACAGTTATAATCATTTCCCTATGTTTAGCCTTATTATTATTATTATTACTATTATTATTATTATTATTATCTTATTATGCTTTCCAACAACACAACACATGATCATTCATTGTGCTTGCTTACTCTTGTTTTTTTGTTTTTATAAGAATCAGAACAATTTTTCCCATGCTCAGTGTTCTTATTTTTTATATGGGTCGATTTAAAGGCTCAAAATAATCTTATTTTATTCTTATTTTTACACACTTTTCAAACATAAAAAAAACGTTATTTTACAGAGAGTGTATATTACTTTACTGTATTATAGAGGATATTAGTAAAACCTACAAATAAGGTACAGATAGATTTGTTGGTTTTTTCCATTTTCCCATTAAAGCTCTCTGCAAGAGAACAAATAATCAAGATTAAAAATGATCTGGTCATTGGAACTTATAATTTTAATTTCTCCGATCATAGTATTGTTGCCTCACGTAGAAGTGGTTGGCGCATCGGTTGTGGTTTGGACTCCCAACCTCGAGGTCGGGAGTTCAAAACTCTCGCTGTGCAAGTCGCTTGTGTCCTTGGGCAAGGCACTTTATATACGGTNNNCGGTTGTCTCTCTCCACCCAGGAGTACAAGTGGGTACCTGGTAGGTTCAAACACAGCCTGCGCTGAATACAGCTGCAACATTATGGAATTCCCCATGGGGCTTGAGGGTGTGTTCCATATGTGCTTGATCCAGTGATCCGGGGGTAATAATGTTCAAGCACTTCGAGATTGTGTCAACGGGAGGCGCTATATAAATCCAGAATAATTATTATTATCACTGATAATAGCATTGTGCAAAGACTAATTCCATAAGGACACAAGTATTATTTACAGTATAGAATTTGAACCGTCAATTTCAACACCTTTATTAGAACCCTTTACAAATGTATTCTTCGTTATACATCCATTTTTACAAGGCAAAGACAATTATGAAAGTCTTATTTTTAAAACCAAAATGAACTGCTGCATTTGTGTTTGTTTTTTGTTTGGACTAGATTTAAACTACTTTTACTAACCTCAAACTCTTCATTCACAGTTATTGCAGCCTTTAACTTTTGACCCTTTCTTCTTCCTTTTGACTTCAATTCTTTTTGTAAATCAAGTATCAATTGAATTTCTACTTTTTCATCAGCTTCCTGTAATAGAAAACACCCAAATTACTAATCAATTAAATATTACAGTATTTGGTATACTGTAAAGCGATGTTCCGCAAACTATGGTCCGCGGCCCAAATTTGGGCCGCGAAACAGTTTTGGAGGGCCGCGAGGCCATCTGGAAATTAAAAAAAATATAACGAAGAGACGTTTCATGATGGAGAAAATAGTTTTTAATAAAGCCCCTTCATGGTTACAGCAAAGGCTTCACTTACACATGCTGCTAAAGTGCCAGATAACTATTTGAGTTATAAGCGGTTTTTGTGTCTATGCCCCCTCGGGAGCTGAACACTAAGTTATCGTCTAGTATTAAACCTGTAAGATCAAGTAAATCTGGTATGGAGGAATGGTGGGATGAGTCATAAGCTGGGTCAGATAAACATAAATATAAGACCTGTCCTAGAAAGATCACTACAGTAAACAACTCCACACATTTATTGATAACCGAATGCCCATGTGGATACTTTATTACTAAACATAATACCTGTTTTTGGAAGGAGAAAACTATGACGTGAGTGGCCGAACCGTGCTTGGTTGAATCATGGTAGAGAAAAAACAATCAACAATTGTCGTGGGGGAGGGGGGACACAAATGTGCAGTATTGTTTATTTAATAAAATAATATTTAATTTGTATACAATGAAATGTTATCACTATTATGTTGGTCCCTGGCGCAGCTGGGCTGCGGCTTGGTGCCTGGAATCGTAAATAGGCCGTGAAGTAAAAAGTTTGCGGAACGCTGCTGTAAAGCTGTCTCTTATACACATCTAGATGTGTATAAGAGACAGAGCCTAGGTGGTGCATCATCTGGTTCCATTATTTCCTCCTGCAAGAGAAAAAATAATCAAGATTAAAAATGATCTGGTCATTGGATGGATAAATCATACACAACTTATAATTTTAATTTCTCCGATCATAGTATTGTTGCCTCACGTAGAAGTGGTTGGCGCATCGGTAATACAATAATATTTTGCTTTTCCGCATCTAAAAATTACTTCAGTCATCACTGATGTTTACAAATGAATGGTCACAAAAAATCCAACTAATGTATAATGAATAAATGGTCACAACACTTCAAACTGTCAATAAATTTACAAACATTGAATGCTTAAGATTTAATAGGAAGAATACTTAAACAAATGCAATTTATTACTTGTTTTATAACAAACTTGACACAAAATCATTTACTTACATGTCCACTTTCCTTTAGTAAAGGAAACCTTTCTAATATTTCCTTTGCGCCCCCATTCAATTTTCTTATGACATTTTGCCTTTCCGAAAAGAGTCTCTTAGCAGTTTTTTAATCCTTGGCCCATCTTCAGCAACCACTGCAACTTTCAACTCTTCTTCAATCTCCTCAAAGGACATGTGATTATCTATAATGATTTTCAAACTGTTAATGAAAAGTAACCTACCACTATCTTTGGGAAGACATATATAAAAGCGAGCTCCATTTCCCGGCTTTCTTTTATCTCCCTTACTAGTTTTATTGATTCGTTTATTTTCCCTCCATCTAATGTTTCTGAGCTTTTGGGAAAGCTTCTGTGTCACGACTCTCTGTCAGAAAAAAATGAAAAATAATCATTCGTATAATCAGCTAATATGTTGGAACTTTCCTTAGAATTTAGGGTATTTTCAGATCTATGGAGTTATAGGTTTGGTATCATAAGCAACGTCACAATATAATTAGCGTCGTAACAGCAAAGTGTTCATGTTCCATTAACTAAGACTTTGGGACGAAAAACTGTATGCAGGAATTAATTTGATTTTTGTTGACATCACTTAGGTCAAAATCATTGATGTATGACTTTTGTATTGTATGTGTCGTACAGTAATCTTGTACCTTGCTTTTCTTAATCTTATCTAAAGAAATGTCAGTGTTGCTCCACATCTTTTCCTGGTTCCTAGTTTTAACCTAATTTTGGATTTGAATGCTGAATACGATATACAAAACCATAACTCTGTGGGTGTGATCAAGCCTTTGGGCTAGAGTAGTTTCTTTTTTTTAAAAATCAATTAAGGTTATCATGAATGAGACATTGTTTGAGTTTGGGCTGGAATGTCAGGGATCCCTAAAATATATGGCTGTCGACGACAGCTTTAGCTATATTACATGAATGTACCACAGACAATACAAACACTAAAGTTAATTTACATACCCATTTTGATGATCCAGAACTGAATGCAAGGTTAGGATGTTCAGCCACTAATGATTTACCAAAAACTTCATATTGTGTCTTGGATTTCATATTATACTTGTGTGCAATGATATGATAGGCAGTCTCCTCTATGATTTTGTCCAGATGCTTGGAGGCATCGACACTATTACTGAGCCAACCTCGGACTCTAGTTGAGTATATGGGAAGGGGACATTCAGTTCCAGCACTAGAAGTTGACGAATGCCATTCAGCTTCCTCTTCTTCACTAGAGCCAGAAGGCACTGAGAATTCCTGAATTTCCAAATCAGGTGTCTAAAGAAGAATATAAGAAATATTCTTAAAACATTAGAGCTGCATATTGCCAAATGCCAAAAAGTGCCACTATCAATCTAAATAGCTTCATAGAAGACAATTATTTTCTTAAAGGTCCAGCTTACGTGTTCCACAACTCGAGGTCAGGTACGCTTACAGTAGGTCCGACATAAAACCCTTATAATATTCAAACAATTATCTATGTATGATGACGCCATTCTTTTTACAAGGCTCAGCAATTAAATTCAATTACTCTAAATTGAGACAAGGAAACTGATTTCATAATTAAGAACTAAATGAATGAATACCTTTCTTGCTTGCAGTAATACTTTGATTTTCCTGACAATCCCCACTCTCCCTGGTAGCATACTTTTTAAGTCTTCATCTTTAAGATGGAACAATATTTCTCCATCAACACCATTTTCTGCAACAGATATATTGAATTAATGTATAGCAACAGATCGTATTGTTTGTATACGAAAAAAAAGGCTAATTTCTTAGCCAGCATGAAATTTGCACTTCCTAATAAATGTCACCCATCTGTAAGCAAAAATCACTTAAAGTTCATTGGCTATATGCTGCTACTGAAGTATTTATACACAGTATAATCATTGTCATACAGCACCTGAAAATTAAAGGAAAATTAATTTAATAATACTTTTTTCTGGGGTCATGGTTTGTATTCTCTTGGAAATAAAAGATTAGCTCATATACACTGTACATACATTCTTATCTTTCTTTGTACAGTATATCTATATCTTTGTTTAATGTTTACCTGTATGCAAAATGTATATACATATGAAAATGAAGATGATTCATAAGTGTGTTTCTTACCTTTTGATAATTATGGTATGTCTTCAGATGCTTAAAATGCTTTTAAAGCAAAGTCCATGGGTCATCCACACATCGAAACATTACAAACAGTTTGTCATTCACCATATGAAATATTTGTGGCCATGGGTACAATAATTCATTAAAGTTTAAAGTCAACACCTCATTAGTTGTATCAACTGCAAATGCATTCATATTTGTGTTAAATAATGTCACACCCAGCTTCTTGCAAACAAATGAGTATAGCATAGGACCTCTAACAGCAATTGACTGTATCTGAATGAATTCTGGAACTAACAAATGATCCCATTTTTTTAACAGAATGGCATTTTCATAGTAATGAATTCCTTTCACCTTAATTGAAGATGTTAACATTAACTTTGTTTTCAAAAAATGGTAACTTTAACTTCATCTCCATGGTACAAAAACATTTCTGATTTTTTTCCATTCATGCTTACCATCTGGAGGCACATCCACTTTTGATGGTACATCACCAAAGTCCTAGCGATATTTTTGAAATTGAACCACCGTTTTAGCTTAAAGAATCCGTTTTTGCCTTCAAATCTCATACACCAGTGTGATCTCAAAGGTCCAAAATCTTTCAGTTGTGCAGAAAAATGAACAAGGTAATGCATTTTAGGGGTAAATGACTCTTGTGGGTTAAGGTTGATAAAATTGAGCAAGTATGTCGAGATGAGGTGTGTAAGGGTGTCGTAAGTGTCAGAGGACGCTACTGGTGATAAACAAAGTAGT